ATAGGGGCTCCTGATATGGAAGGGGGGGGGTCCTGATGTAATGAGGACTCCTGATGTGAAGGGGAGCTTCTGATATGGGGCTCCTAGTATGAGACAGGATGACATGTGAAAACAGGGGGAGGGAGCTCCAGATGTGAAAGGGGGGCTCTGATGTGAAAGGGGGGCTTTGATTCAAAGGTGTCTCCTTATCCAGAAGAACTCTGATGTGAAGGGGGAATCACACTTTTACATGCTTTCGCGTGGGGGCCCCCTTAAAATCCATACCAGACCACTATCTAGGATAAGGGTCTGGTATAGATTTTGTAGGAACCATGCGTCGTTCTTTAAATGTACATTTTAGATTGGGTTGCCTTGAGATTTTGCAAACTTTTAATGGGTGCCATGACTGAAAAAAGGTTGAGAAACGCTGCTTTAGTTTAGACTACAGCAGTGGAGGGAAAGTGAGGGTGGAAAGACCGCTGTAAGAGCCAGCTCCTAGGATCCGGTGAGTATAACTTTCTTTCATTTTCGCACCAAGACAAAAAGAGCACTGCAAGGGTTAAGACATTTTTTTGACCAGTCCTCTAAAGAAACAGATCGGCACGGACAAAGGAACACAGCAAAAGTCGGTAATGTCTTTGGATGCCGGCAAAGAATAGGTTATGTCTTTCTGTGGGCGAGACAATATCACCTCCTACATATGCATACCATATTCATTCCTTCATTTCTGGGCTTTTGTATCATAGCAGCAGACATCTTTTTGTCAGGAGGCCTGTCTGGATTTCAACCCTGAACTCCGGCCACAAAAACATTTCATTGAGATATCTTCCTCAATAGCCACAAAGGATATAAATGCGCTTTGTGTGCTCCGAATGCCATAGCGGACCCAGACGTTTTGTAAAATTAGTAGTGACACCATTACTAGGCTGCCCAATAATCTGTGCACACAGCAGAGGTGTAGGAGGGGTCCAGCAGGCCCCACCCACTACATGCTGAATGCAGAAAACTACAGGAGGGGGCGGATTCAAGACCATTCACTCTGCACAATGATAGAGAAACAGTGACCGGTCTTTATTACAGGAAGTTCGATTACTGTACTGATATAGAGAAATAAACCAAGGATGGGGAAGAGTACACATGACTCTTGTATTTAGGCAATATACACTTACCCTGGAGTTCAACTTTAAAGCCCAAGTATTAGGCTGTTCTACCCCTTCCCATAATTTTCCCCTACTACCCATGTAAGAAAGAAAGATTTTAATTGTTGGGTTCAACTGGTGGGTCGTGACCCAAAAGTGGGTCGCAACCTCATGTTCAGTGGGTCACCGCATGCCTTCCACTTTTCTAGGTGAGAGGCTCCTCAGCCTCCCACTAGCATGGCACTGTTAGTTCTCACACCAAGCAGCCATTCAAAATATGCTGCCCGGTGCCAAGTGTCAGCTTGAGGTGGGATGGGATGGAGTTATGGCTGCGAGGGAGGTCCATCCATACGTGCATAGCTTACAGCTCCCTCACATGTCTTGTAGAGGTGCCTGGACCGGAGTGATGTCACATTCTGGCTCCCGGCACCTCTACAGGGTCCGCAAGGGAGCTGTATCAGCAATGCACATATGGATGGAGCTCCATCACAGCGGAGTAGCCCACACTGGACCACAGGCTGAGAATCCACTCCAGTTCTCGTAAGATAGGGAGACTTGGTGGACCTTTAAAAAGGTTAAAAAAAACAAAACTTTTTTGGAGTGTGTATGCGATTGTGTGTGTCTCTCTTATGGCAAGCAAGTTGCGCTTGGTCAGTGTGAATGTGAATTGTAATGTGAAGGAAACTTACAATCTAACTTGAAGAGACCATGATTGTTTCTAATGACGAAATACTGTATAATCAATTATTGTGTGTGTCTGTCAGTGTTTTTGAGGGCCCATTCACACTATTACAGTGCGTTAAGCGCACGGTCCCATGCGATTAACACAGTACCACGTAAAATCGCACCTACTGCGATTTCTGGTGTGGGAGATGTATTACATTGCCATTCATTTGAATGGCACTCCAAACGCGCCTTCCACCCACAGTTCGATTGCCCGCACCGGAACGCGCAGTACCACCTTCAGTCATGGATTAATGACCAAGGACAAATGTGGGTCCTGAGGTTACACTGGTTGGGAACCACTGCTCTAAACTAATGCATTGTCTTCTGCATTCTATTCCACCTCTGGTCTTTTTTCAGGCTGAATGAGATCCAGCATCATTTACCTCATTTCCTGGGTGCCCAGGCTATCATTTTATTGTGTTAACAGAGAACTATGGCCCAACCTTTTTTGGCCATAGTTCTCTTTAGGGTCACAGGAGGATTACTAATGTCCTTCTGTGACCCAAAACTCAGCATATAACCCGCTATATGCTGATAGCGCAGAGCTGGGCTGCAGCCGAGAATGTCTTAAGCCCCACTGCAAGGGATAAGAATTTATTTTCTTCTTTAAAGATCTCTACATACTTGCCCCAATAAACGGATCTCAAACTGCTTAGAAATGCTTCTCACACCCCTGCAGATCATGGCTCTGTATGCAGCATCATTGCTGAACAGCAGAATTTCCAGTCTTACCGGACAGCCTGTCTTTTACCTGTAACATAAGCTGTTCAGTAGAGGACTCAAAATCTTTTGATTTGCATTAATGTGTTTACATTCTCAATTTATGAAAATCAGATGGATTATGTATTACCTGGAAGGAGTACAATACTGCTTAACGCATCGAAATCCAAACCCCGGTATAACACGTCACAAGACTGAAGACAATGGGTGATGGTGTATGCAACGGGTTTACAATGTCAAGGCCATAGACAGCTAGAATTTCGGCCGCTCAGACAGCTAAACGACAGTAATGAGTCCATTCCCCCATCCACGTTAATAGGGTGAATGGAGGAATCTCCACTTCCGGTATTTAAGCAGCCAGATGTATTCTCCAGTGAAATCCCCCCATTGACTTTAATGTGAGGCGGCACACTGCACCTGGGGCTCTCTGTCGGCAAGAACATGCACGCATTTGCAGTGTATAGGAGCCAGTGCCCGTGTGCAAGAGCCCTAAATGTTGCCTCCCCCTTGTTCTTAGCTATCTGGCATACAGTACAAAATAAATCATAATGGAAATACCCTTTTTCTTTTTTTTTTTTTATTTGTCCAAGCTGTCATGTGACCACAGAGTTCCTATGGCTCTGTCAGGTGCAGTGCTGCCAATGGTGCAGTGACATGACCCACCAGTGTCCTGGTGTTGTCGGGGGGGGTAGAGAGCTGCACAGCTGGAGCTGTGCAATCAAGTGACTGGACAAAATAAAAGGAAAAAAACCTGGTATAATCATTACGATCTATTTCAGGAGAGAAAAGAACAGGAAGGAGGCAACAACATTTGCAAGCTGGCTGGGTGTATTGCCTTTCCTTCTTTAAACTTTACTGGACACCTGCAGCTCCTGGACCTGTGGCTTCCAACCTCCTCAAAACTAGTTACTAATACAAAATAAAAGCCGTAACTTCCTCAAACATAACCAGCACGTCCGCCGTCCATGCAAAATTCACAGCGCTGATCCACATAATATTCATCTATTAAAAATGTAAATCCTCTAAGTGACTATAAGCTTTCCTCCCGGAACTTCATCCACAGCCTCATACAAATCTCATAATCTCGCTGCCACCCTTAGCAGCTCAAAGCTTATCCTTCTGATGGTGACTTTCAGCCATCTTCTAAACCAAAATCAAGCAGTCTGGGCTTCATCCCATCACTACTTATGACAAAAAGAAAATGAAAATATGAAATATTATTTGAAACTCTTACTGGCAAGGCCGATCCATAATTTCTATCATACTGGGTTCCGAAAGAACTGAAAAAGTTAAACATTCCAAAAGAATTTCAACTTTTAAACAACTTCTCCTAGAATCTCCTAACACCTCCTAGAATATCCTCCCAGAATGTCCTCTCCCAACTCCTCCCAGAATGTCCTCTCCCAACTCCTCCCAGAATGTCCTCTCCCAACTCCTCCCAGAATGTCCTCTCCCAACTCCTCAGAATGTCCTATCCTAACTCCCCCAGAATGTCTTCCTACAATGACCTCTTCTAACTCCTCCCAGAATATCCTCTCCTAACTCCTCCCAGAATGTCCTCTCCTAACTCCTCCCAGAATGTCCTCTCCTAACTCCTCCCAGAATGTCTTCTCCTAACTCCTCCCAGAATGTCTTCTCCTAACTCCTTCTCAGAATGTCCTCCTACAATGACCTCTTCTAACTCATCCCAGAATATCCTTTTATAACTCCACCTAGAATGTCCTCTCCTAATACTTCCTAGAATGTCCTTTTAAAACTCCTCCTAGAATGTTCCCATAGAATGCCCTCTTATAACTCCACCTAGAATGTCCTCTCCCAATACCTCCTAGAATGTCCTTTTATAATACCTCGTAGAATGTCCTCTCCTAACTCCTCCCTGTTTCACCTCCTAGAATGTTCTCTCCTAACTCCTCCCAGAAAGTCCTCCTAGAATGGACTATCTCTGCTCAGTCAGAGTGCAGGAGGGACAAAACCTGTAAGTGTTACTAAACTGCAGCACTGTAGAACAAATCTGGTCTCTACCAGAGAGAGTGCTGTGCTGTGTGGAAGAGCTGCATAAATCTCAGGGCTGATTGGACCAACATACAAATCCTTTGGCAGGTGTGTATTTCATCTGAGTGTTTAGTTGGTTTGCCTGAAGTTCAGATTTGAATGACAATTTTTTTTAGCTTTGGTTTGAGTAGATAAGGACTCAGACCAACCACGGGTGAGCAACTCTGGCCCTCCAGCTGTGCTTTAACTACAGATCCCAACATGCTTCTGGGAGTCTTGCCTGTAACTGTCAGCCTTGCAATACCTCATAAGACTTGTAGTTCCACAACAGCTGGAGGGCCGGGGTTGCCCACTCCTGCAGTAGATACTAAAGAAAGTAAGAAAGTAAAATATTTGGTGTATGCATGTTACCTAAAAAAACCTTCCAGATCATGATTCTCTTACCAGATTTTGCTCACACAGGCCACGGAACTGCTGGAACTTCTGAGACATTAGAAGCTGTGCGCTGCCGACGGCACTGAGAACCTTCCCGATCACTGTAAGCAAGAGGCAGGGGTTAGAATGAACCAAAATAAACCAGAAGCTTTTCTCTGTAATAATTAATCTAGTCTTCTGCCATTTGGGCTGCTGGCAAACTGTCCCTTGTAGCATCTGATCAGTGTACAACCAAAATGACTCGGGGTCAGTAAATCTCTGCGCTACTGAGAGATTTAACTACTTGTTGGCTATGTTTGCATTAGCAGGACATGGATTTCAATTTTCTAGGTTGTGGCCTTTATTTTAATCGAAAAATCTCCCCATAAGATTGTATGTGCATTCAATGTACTGTATTTCAAGCATGTGATTACCTGTAAAAGCCTCCCGAGTGACACTCTATAGCAGGGGTAGGCAATTTTCGGCCCACCCAGCTGTGGTCCAACTCCCATTAGGTATTGCAAGACCCCAACAGCCACATGCATGACTCCCAGAGGCAGATGCATAATGGGGTTTGTAGTTTCATCACTGATGGGAGAGCCGGAGTTTGCCTACCACTGCTTTACAGTATTGCCCTTCGCTCCTTTCCCAGGAAGCTACTTAAAAGGTTATATTGGGAGGTAAGGAAGCGGGGCCAGCACATACAGGAATTATACAGTCTTAGAAGAGCAGAGGGCTATGATCTGCAAGGAAGGAAGGAGCTTTGCTAGGGAATGGACTTTTCCTGGAGTAGTCAAATATTCTAGGAAATTCTAAGTCACAAGTGAATAAAACATTATTGATAGAAAAAACACTGCATGCAAGCGTTCAAAATCATTGTCTTCTCTGTGCTTTTACCCGCAATATTTCAAGTTGGTGACAGGGTCTCTTTAAGCTCAATTCTTGGTTGCAACATATTTATTGCCCCAATTACCCCCCAACCCAGTGACTATGCAAGTTATGTTTTTTAATTTTTTGGGGCCTTCTGAATACTGTAAATTGTATTACAAAGTTGCATTCTGTGACCTTTCTTTCTGGGATATGGGTGAGTAAGGGGGTGGTAGCATGGAATTGGGCATTCATATACCTACAGACATTAGCAAACATTTGTCCAATCTACCCATTTATGGCTGTATATCTAAAAACCCTCCGTCACCTCTTGGCTGAGCCTTCTAGGGTGGCGCTTGTTGTAATAACCGACTTTTGGATCATTAATGTCTGTAGGCAAATTAAGGTTAAGGCCTCATGTAAACAGGCGACGTACACGAAAATTCTGGTGTATTTCCCCACCTAGGAAGCCAAAGGTGCTGCCCATAGACATCATTAAATGTATGCCAGTATATATACCAGTACTTTCCTAAACTTGCACATGTGCTGGAACATGTCCCAAATGTAGTGTTCAGGGCATACGTTTGTATGCATGCACGAGTTTACAAAAGTACTGGTATATAGCAGCCGTACAGTCCCGTACAGCCACTGATGTCTATGGGCATTTGAGCCCAGCACTGTGGCTTCCCAGTACACCCATATGTTATGTGTGCATCACCAATGTGCCCATGTGCATGAGTCCTAAAGTGAGCCCGTTGCTCTGCCCCACTTAAACGCTGGCCATGACAGATGCTTATACTTACCTTGTTTCCTCTCCCCCATTGCAATAAATAGCCGCCGGGAGCAAAGAAAGCCGACTTTCCCTACCCCCATATGACAGCACTGGGTATCTGAATGGGTAATTACTAAGCACAAGTGCTGTCAAGTGGGAGAAAGTCACCAATAAAGTGAACCTACTGCTTTACCTTGCAAGGGCACAGGCGTGCTTTAAAGCAGAACACTAAGTTCTGCTTTAAACAAGTGCAATTTTGTATAAGGTGCCTATTCTACTATTCATCAGTCTCCTGAACCTATTTACAGTAATGTAGACTTCAGATACAGAAAGCTCTTCATACGATAGCTGCAGCCTTCTCTGGACCACAGCTTTCATTACATCCTGTTCACAAATATTACATCTCTGCATCCCATTCATTTCTATGGGCCTACGGATTTGGCAGTCACATCAGTTATGATACTCAATGCACACACAAGGGTGGCTCGACAGGACCCTGCAAGGGAAAGGAGCCACCCTAAAACATATTAGGACTAGTGCTCAGGGGACCAGCGATTCTGCAGGAAGCTGACATTTTTAAACATCAAGGGGAAGCATCCATTGTAAGTGATGTCATCAACATTTGAAATAGCTAAAAATCTTTTGGACTTTAATATCACTTTTATGACGAAAACAAATGCAGCCACCACATCTAAGGACTGGTAGACTGCAATCCATCACATTTTTGTTCTGAGGTTTAGATATACTTTAAAAAGGAGAACTATGAGGTGAGTGGTTTTCACTCAACCTCATAGTTCAAGCCGACGTGTGACAATGAAACTGTCACACGTCGGCTCAACAGATCGGGAAGTGAGTGAACACATACCGTTGCTCGCTCATCTCCCTGCAGAGAGTCGTGACTGTCACTCACGGCTCCCTGCAGAGATTCCCCGCTCCGATTCTCCAGCGCTGACTGGCGGAACGGACGGGGGAGGGGGCGGGTACAGCTGGCTCCGCCTCTAGATAGGCAGAGCCAGCTGCCAATCACGCAGCTGGGTGGATCTCGACAGTAATGTCGGGATCCGTCCCAGCTGCGGCAGTCTCAGTATACCGCAAGCTGTAGCCCGCGATATACTGAGCTTTGGGTGACGGGAGGACGCTAGTTTATGTCCTCCCGTGATCCTTAGGAGAACTATGGGGAAAAACACTTACCCCATAGTTCTCCTTTAAAGCAGCAGGTCAACAAGTACGTGAATGCATTTATATGTGTTTCCATCCAAACAACTGGATGAGAAATGTAAGAATGGCCTCCAAAAGCTTCACAAGTAAATGACATTAGGCAGCATTCTATAAATAAAGACAAGCTGAATACAAAAAAGGGCCGTTTCCAGCTTGCTGTCCATTATTTATTGTAATTGCTTTCCTTAAGTGCTGAGAATATGCACGGGGTTTCTAGATTAGAATTAGAAGAGATGATAGAAACGGAAGAGGGTGTAATTAACCAGTTGTGGATGTTGGATGTACTACACAAGCCCAGAAAAGCTTATTGAAGTACACAGGGCGGGTGGAATATGTCCTGTCCTTCTGCCGCTCCCACCTCACACTTGCCGGCAATTCCAGGCTGTCAAAATGACAGCCGGGAACTGCTGTGTAAATACAGCGGCTGTAATAGCGGCCGCTAGTGAGCTGTGTGTGTCTCCACAAACATGCAAAGCAAGGCAAGCCACAACCCTGCTCCTATCTCCCCGCTCCTCCCTCCAAGCTAGTAGATGGACAGCTGCTGGAGATTGCTCTGTGCCTTGTGATCTTGTACTGGACAGGTAGTTCAGGGAAGCCAAGCTGAGTTTGAGCTTTTTGGAAATATGATCGCTGTAAATGCTTGGGTGAAAATATAAAGAAATACTTTGCTGCGTAAGGTATATTTGTTTGATCTGGATTAATTATTGTAAAAAGTTTAATACGAATACTACTTTAAAAAGGAGAACTATGAGGGGAGTGTAAATCACTCATCCTCATAGGTCGAGCCGACGTGTGACAATGAAACTGTCACACGTCGGATCAATAGATCGGCAAGTGAGCAAACACTTACTGTCGCTCGCTCACTTCCCGATCATCTCCCTGCAGAGAGCAGTGACTGTCAGTTACCGCTCCCTGAAGGGATTCCCCCCTCCCCTCTCCGATCCTTCAGCGCTGACTGGAGGAACAGACAGGGGAGGGGGCGGGCACAGCTAGCTCTGCCTCTAGATAGGCAGAGCCCGCTGTCACTCACACAGCTGGGTGGATCTCGACAGCATTGTCAGGATCCGTCCCGGCTGCGTCGGTTTCAGTATACCGCGAGCTGTAGCTCGTGATATACTGAGCTTTGGGTCACGAGAGGACGCTAGTATATGTCCTCCCGTCACCCTTAGGAGAACTATGGGGAAAAACACTTACCCCATAGTTCTCTTTTAACTATAATTTTCCTGCTGGTTTTTTCATTTGTTTTGTTTACGTTTCGTTATATCTTCTGTCTATGGTCTGCATAAAAAAATCAAATCCTTTTGAAAGACAATAGCACCAAAAGCAAGTCTTGTTTGTCCTAAAAATAAATAAATGATATACAGGTGAAACTCGAATAATTAGAATATCGTGCAAAAGTAATTGCAGTAAGTGCTGCAAAAGGGGCCCAAACCAAGTACTGAGTACATATGCATGCTTGTACTTTTCAGAGGTCCGATATTGTTCTATGTACAATCCTCGTTTTATTGATTGCATGTAATAATCTACTTTTTTGAGGTTGTGGATTTGGGGTTCTTGGGGTTTTCATGAGCTGTAAGCCATAATCACCACAATTATGACAAATCACGGCTTGAATTATCTTGCTTTGCATGTAATGAGTCTATCTCATATATTAGTTTCACCTTTTAAGTTGCATTAGTGAAATAAATGAACTTTGCACGATATTCTAATTATTCGAGTTTCACCTGTGTATATAACTTTTTGATCTTATGTAATGACAAAGGTATTGCCAAATCAATAGGCCCATAGTAAAAATGTTAAATTGTTCTATAGGTGGTGTATAGGTGTGAGAGCAGACGTGATTACATTTCAAGGAAAATCCCATTCTGCTAAAGAATGCATTTTATTTTTTCATGTTATCGATCACCTATCAATTCTAATATACCAACTATGATTTTATATTACTTACAAAATAATTCAGTTTCTCTTACTTGCAACGATAGCAACAGTATTCAGTTTATACACTGACTTTTCCCAGAAGACTGCACAGAGCCAAAAGTCGACATCCTGTTAGTGGATGACATATTCTTATTTTCTGTACCCCACAATGCATTGCTTTTTATCCACAGCCAGCAGCATTGGTACATGGCAGATGAGGGAAAAGGGGGGGGTTGGAGGGGCAGATACCTTAATATTAGACTCTATATTATATACCTTAATATTATTAGGAGTTGCAAAGTCCTAGCATATACTATTCTATTATTACATCCGCACTATAATCGAAATACATACTGTTTTTTTTTAAACAATATTATCAATATTGATTATTATTATGGATTCATATAGCGCCATCCGTCTGTGCAGCGCTTTACAATATAATGCAATCAAGATTTACTTGAAAACAAATCCCTTTTATGTAGTGAGTGCTGCCTTCTGTCTGCCCATCACTTTCATCAACTTCCTGGATTCCCAGTGTGCTTTGCATGTCTTTCCCTGCTGATTGATGTGATGCAATCTCTTATTTCTCAAGACTACATAACCCATCCTGCATTGCTTCCGGCAAGCAATGATGATGTAACATTGCTCAGACGGACGTTGAGTTGTAGTTCAGATAGGAGGCTTAGTTAGAGTTGCGACACAAGTGCATATTCGCATGGCTCAGTGAAACTGTGTCAGTGTATGGATGAAGTCCATTCTATGGGCACCTTCAATAAGTAAGTTTACAAACTTCTAGATCTGGGTATTAGGAGTGGGATAGAACTTATGGAAATTCAATATAGAAATACAGATTTACTTTTAGTTTTTGACCACAGGTGCCCTTTAGGTGAATATTTTTTTTTTTATTCTGACCTTTCCCAAGCACAGGTTTACTTTTATTGTGCTTTAGAAATTTCGGTAGTGAGATTTGTGTTATGAAAATGATATAGAGTAATTACCAAACAGGTAGAGGTATAGTTATACAATATAGGTAATGGGTAGGCCAGTTCCAAGCAAACCTGACATTTCACTTGGGCAGGGGTGCACTGAAGAAACAGTGAGCTTTCTATGATAATTTCTGTCTCCACCCTACATCCACACATGGGGCTTTGGGTGGTGCTATTTTTCCAGAGATGCAATACATTGGTACGTAATTCTGCATGGCAGCCATTATGCAGAACAGAACAACCAGTTTTGGGTGCAGATGGTCATCAAAATATTGGCATCTCCAAATCATTGAAAAGTAAATTAAGTTAAAGTTAAAATTTTTCCTTTTATTATTCACTCTCCTGGCAAACCCAAGGTGAAGAATTCCAGACCGCGTTCATTCCACTGCACTGGAGGACTATGACACGTGCATGATCAGATGGAATGGTACATACCTTCTTCACAACGGTTGTTGTCCCCGGTCTCCTTCTGCATCTGTTTGCACCAGCCCTCGAGTCTTTCTGTCTCAGCCTGCAAGAGCTTCAGGAACCAATGTCCATCCCTGCGGCAAGCCCCTGTCTGGGCCGGCTCTGAAGAAGGGGGGGAGGCTGCAGAGTCCAGCCAAGGGTCAGGAGGAGGAAGGGCGGATGCCTCCATTTCCCCACCATCTCCATAGGAGAGGTGCTTTTTAGGGAGGGGTACCGGAGGGCCTGGAGTAGGCTGGCGGGGTGGCGGGCAGTCTGGAACGCTCTTGTCAGATGAATTGCTGGGCTCCTGGGTGTCAGAGTCCGTTTCTTGCTTGGATGTCATGCTGCTGGAGCGGCTATTCCTGTTCGGGAGATAAAATAAGATCTGAGCATCTGCAGAGGGATGGATCTCTTATATTAACCAACAGCAGTATCTAGATGTTTGGGTATCAGTGCTGAAATTTGCTTTCATACCCTTAGAATAGGCCACCTGCCTCCATAAGAACAGAAAAAAGGCTAAAACGAAAGTGAGATACAAAATGGCTCAATGATGTTAGAATTCCAGTCTTCCTCTATGGTTCTAGCAGAGCTCTTTAGACCTCTAACTATAAACAATAAGACCTTCAAAGTGACACTAAACTCCGGAGTTAAATCTTAAAAATGCATTCACATACCTTGACTAATAACAACAATGTATCTTATTTGTGTACCACTTGGCTGTAGAGCTCTCAAATCATCTCTGATTTGGTGCTGCCACTGTCCTTCCTTCTGGAGGGGGGCTACTTTTGTTTCCCATGGTCCCTGTGTGTGTTGTAAAGTAGCCACCGCTCCTAGCTCACTCCCGGGATGGACTACAATTTCAATGCAAATTAGTAAACTAAACATGAGATTGTAGTCCATCACAAGTGCGAGCTTGGGCTTAGGTGACTTCAAAACTAAGCCCCGCTGCCATCCTGCTGCCAATAAAAATACCTAAGTGGCCAACAAGGGCACTCTCACTGAACATAGTATTAGCAAAAGTGGGAGTTATCTCTGCAGTCAGGCAATGCGTAGAAGAGGTTATTCCGGCTGACAAATATAATAGGCATCTACAGCTGACAGGTTGCTTTTAAGAAAAGCAGAGTCAGAATGGTTAGACTTAAAGGAGAACTATGAGGTGAGTGAAAATCACTCATCCTCATAGTTCGAGCCGACGTGTGACAATGAAACTGTCACACGTCGGCTCAATAGATCGTGTGAACACATACCGTCGCTCGCTCACTTCTCGATCATCATCCTGCAGAGATCCGTGACTGTCAGTCACCGCTCCCCGCAGGGATTCCCCCCTCCCCTCTCCGATCCTCCAGCACCGACTGGCGGAACAGACGGGGAGGCGGAGCCAACTGTCACTCGGGATCCGTCCCGGCTGCGGTGGTCTCAGTTTACCACGAGCTGTAGCTTGCGATATACTGAGCTTTGGGTCACGGGAGGAGGTTAGTATATATCCTCCCGTGACCCTTAAGAGAACTATGGGGATAAGCACTTACCCCATAGTTCTCTTTTAACGCTCCTGTTTCCACAAGGGCAGCACATGGGGTGTCTGGTTGCTCTTTCCTGCGATTAAACAAACCCTGCTCAGTGCAGCAGTAGCAGATTGCATGTCTATGGGACAAATCTCTGGCATTTTGGCAGGCAGATCTTGCCTCAAATCTGAACTCCATAGAAGACATGGAGTGAAGGTCAGGTCCTGTGTACAGACAGAGAAAAAAGCCAGCACCCCAACTGAACTTCCAAACCGACTGCTTACTGAAGTCCCATATCAGAAAAAACACCAACGTTTAAAGGGTACACAGGCCCTCTTTTTCAAGCTGACAAATGATCTCTGTTTGCCACCTTGACAAAGAGGGTCTGTGCACCCATGACACAGTGATGTTCCTTCCAGTCATTTTGGAAGTTCAGTTGGAGTGATGGCTTTGTTCCAATGTCTGAATCTGCACGGCATCACCCTTTAGCCAAGCATCTACCCCTACAGACTGGTTATAAACGTTTGTGTGGTGTGGTTTGATGTATTGCAGTCCTTGTGACCCAAGAGACTGGGCCTATGACCCGAGGGGCTGCATGGGGACACAGGGAGAGATCTGAAGTGTAACACCTAAAAGGTGAACTTTAGCACTGTTATGAAAAATCAGCTGAAATAGCTGTCACTCTTTAGAGAATAAAGCACCTTCCCCTGGGGTGTAAGCTTTGTAAATGGAACCTGGGCCTTTTGTGCAATCATTCCAACACCCAATAAAGGTTTCTCAAAGCTTACCTCCACTCTTCTTCCACCTGGACCCCGATGGACTGAAATCTGGCAGGAGGGGGGGGCTCAGGGACAGGCACTGGTTGTACACTATCCACCTGATGTAAAGAGAATTACACTGAGCAAGGTATTCACAAACACTGGATGTACTACTGATAACATTCTACAAATATCACAATGTCAAGCAGCGATGCGATCGCAAATATGTATCGCATACACGGGTAGGCTAGTCTTATACAACACATCATTGTAATGACATTTTAAAGTTATACATACCTGACATGGTTGCAAGGCATACTATACTGTTCCACATTGGAACTAGTTCACCTACAGTAAATTCTTGGATCTGTCTATGAAAAAAATGACTAATGGCTTATACGGTATTACTGCATCTAGTCTCTCTACATCACTGGTGCCCAACCCTCCTAGCCATCTTCTTTCCAATTGTATTGTAACTGTAATGTCTTCCTTATATTATAAAGCGCTGTGCAAACTGTTGGCGCTATATAAATCCTGTATAATAAGAATATGGGCAGTGATCTGTAGCAGGCTTATGTCCCCAGTACCTCTCAATCTCCTGCAGTGAGCCTTCACTCTCCCAACCACCCACTGCATGTCTCCAATTTCGCATTGTCTCCTCTAGTAGGTCTGAAGCCTTGACAGTATTCTGTCATATATTGAATACTAAGTACGGCCCTTTTGAGCTGTCAGGGGCTACAGTTGAGGCCCCCTACACCTTGTACATTGACAGCCACTGCTCTACATGTATGTAACAAGAAGAGGATTTCTGTGCAATAGAAGTCTGTTGCAGGCAAGTGACAGCAGGTTTCTTTCTGTGTCTCTGGGAGATCCCGAAGCGATCCTCCGTTCCCTGAACTTCCTGGTTGCAGGGGGAGGATACTGATGGCAAAGGAGCCATAGGCTCCTTCTGCTATCAATCAAACTGTTGGGCAGAGAGGAGGGGCGTGGTCTGCCACAGGGCTGTGTGTGTCTATGGACGCACAGAGCCACGAGCGCGCACGAGTGCCTCCATTAACCGAAGGAGGCACCCGTGCAGGGGGCGGGGGGAAGATCTTTCCTGGGACCCACTAGAAAACGAGGAATTAAAAACTTTTAAAGAAAAAAAGCAACAACCTCAAATCAAAGATCGGTCTCCTTGTAGGAAATATTTTTTTTAAAAAAGGAGGGGGCTTTAATATCACTTTAAGTGGCACTTAAAAGTGTAGAGACAGCACAATCACGGCATCGTGCGTGTCTGGTGTGCGCACACGCTGTAAACAGAAGGTAATTTCTAAACATTTGTTCAGAGCAATAGATCCCCAAACAGCTGTATTAAAGAAGAACTCCAGTTTAAAAATGGATTAACCCTTGCAGTGGGGCTACCCCTGCACTGCAAGGGTCAAGTGCTCGCATTTTTCTAGGTGCAAACTTAAAAAATAAATAAATACATACCAGACCATCCGAGCCGGCTCCCTGCTTCTGCGATCACTAAAGTGTGTCTACTCCTCCGCTGCACAGATGGATTGCTCATGGCGTCCTCTTGTCTATGCACAGTGTACAGAGCATGATGACACCAGGATCCTTAGACTGGTACAGCAGACAGGGAGAGACACTCGAGATGCTTTTTTTAGCATCTAGACACAAATGAGCCCTTAGCACAAGCTCTTTGGCAACTACCAAACTTAAAGTATCAGATTTGGATGGAACAACTCTTTAAAGTGTAAGTAAACCAGAACACAACTGTTATTTGCTCTTTTTTGGTCTGGTAAATTTATAATTGAGAGTACTTTGTTATAACTTTAAATAAGTGCAAAAAATAGCTGTTGATCCTGCCAGAGATCCAGTGCTGCCCTCTTTCCTGTGGACTCCACGGTGTTATATTAAGTAGGGATGCACTGAAATTTCATCCGCTGAAACATATCGGCCGAAAATGGTACTTTGGGCGAAATGCCAAAAGTACCATTTTCCGGTTGAAATTGCAGTGCATCCATAGTTTCTCTCCTCACCGCTGGGTGATGCTCTGTGTCCCCCTGACACAGAGCAGTGTCTAGTGGGGAGGAAAGAAACCTTCAGAAGGCCGAGCTGGGCAGGAAGAAGAGCGCTGTCAGCGGTCTGTGTCACAGGAGGCTGAGCTCTCCTGCTGCAGTGCCTCCTGTGACAGACAGAGACTCAGGATAGAGAGCAGGGAGTAGACAGCTCTCACAGTGCGGGGGAGGAGTCAGCGGTCAGTCATGTCACAGGAGGCCGAGCTCTCCTCCCCGCACCGCCCACTCTGCCTTCTGTGACAGCCGAAGGAGTCAAGATGGAGAGCAGTTACAATGTCCCCAATTATGAATGAACAGGAAGTGATCTACATCACTTCCTGTTCATTCATGATTGTAGATATAGTACGAGTTATTGTGTCCACAGTTTATGAATGGACAGGAGCACTCAGTATAGAGGCTTCCTGTTCATTCATAACGGGGGCTTCAGAAAAAGAGATCTTAGATTGTAAGCCCTCACAGGCAGGGCCCTCCTTACCATTGTGTATTGAATTGTATTCCAATTATAATGTCTTCCCTATGTTGTAAAGCGCTGCACAAACTGTTGGCGCTATACAAGTCCTGTATAATAATTTAGGAATTGAGTATTCTCAATCGCTTTTTCTGTTTCAAAAAGGAAATATCAGGGGTCTGTTTAGTCCCCTGATACTTCCCCAAAGCCCCCAACAGTAAAGTAAAAAAACAAAAAAGAATAAAAATAAAATATTAAAAAAAAAAGTTAGAAAAAGTAATTATTTTCAGTTTTAATCTGACAAATTTTCTATTTTCGGTCGGAAAATTCCAATTTTGGTGCACCTCTAATATTAAGCACTATTATCTTGTGTCCAAGTTCCCTTTGATCTACAGAACACCTTGTTATGGAAATAAGAAAAGGTTGAGGCGTTCTGTAGTTCTAACAAAGAAACTATCCTAGTATTACAATGACGCTTCTCCTCAGATCCAGTACAATAAGTAAGCATTGTCATCCTAGGACAGTGTTACTGGCAGGTTCACTACAATAAATGCAGGGACCACATGTAAGGACTGGTAAGCTGCAATATAATTACATTTTTGCTTTAGGGTTCAGATACACTTTACGAACACTGAAAACATTCATGGAAATGAACATCGGAGCAGCAGTTGGAAACAATCCAGTGACTCTGCAGGCACCATTGACAAACCATTGTTTAACTGAGGAATGCATTGTCTCACAACCATGGCCCTTTTCTGAAGAATTTGCTAACAGTACCAAAGGAAAGATCTGAAGGTTTGTGGTGAGCAAAACAGTTTTTCTCACATGAAGTGTCAACATTTTTAACAATGTATTACTTATCATTATAAAATACCGGTGATTCTAGGATAACTTTGTGCAACGTCACACATGGGTTGCTCACCTGAATTCCAATGGAGGACAGTTTCCGTTTTGGGAGGGGTTCTGGGGCACGAGGCTCTTCTCTGACAATTTTTACAGCCGCATTTTTGGGGGGGACCTCGGGGGGTATTTGCCTGATGGGGGTCAGGGGGCAAACACGGGTTACGCTGGGTGCACGGGTACTCTCAAGACTCTCGGTGGAGGTGCTGAGCCCCGACTGGCTGTTGCCTTCGCTCTGCCCCTCCTGTGCATCCAGGTAAGAGTCCTGGGCAGACTCTGTACTACTTTGTACAGTCACAGATATAAAGGGTTTGGAGGTGGTGCGAGGGGGCACCGGTGGGGGGGTCTTCTTGTAACCCACCAGACAAGAGGAACCTATGGAAATAAAAGAATAAAATAAATAGGTTAATATTCACAGAAATTAAAAGAGACACCGGCTACACACTGAATTACAGCCGTGCAGTTCAAAAAGCAGCCTGACGACCTCTCTTACAAATTCTGGGATCACTGTAGCAAATAAGTAACCAACCCTCCGATCCTACATATGGTCGATCAATGTCATGAAACGTACTACTGTAGAGCAGCATTCTCAACCTTTTTCCTGTCATGGCACCCTTTAAAAGTATGCAAAATCTAGAGGCACCTCCGTGTAAAATGTAAATATATAAAAGGATGTGGTGCTCCTCCCCAACATCCAGAACCTTATCTTAGGTAGGGGTCTGGTATGGATTTAAAGATTGAACCCCATGCAACAAAAAAAAAAAAAATGACACAGGCTTCTCCCTTTTATAGCAGAGTCCCACCTTTCACATCGGAGTCCAATTTTTATAATCGAGCCCCCCCCCCATTCACATCAACATGGTTCACATCAAGCTTCTCATCAGAGTCCCCCTCTTCACCGGCCCGCCTGCACTATGCAAATGAATGACTCAGTGTGAAAATGTGAGGCACCCCTGACAAAACCACATGGCACCCTGGTTGAGAAAGACTTCCCTAGAGAATATACTTGTAGAGAAGAGCTATTTCAGTCTACAAAGGATGGAACCTGAATAGATCTGGCCGTGAATTTATACAATCAATTAAAAAAGTTCCCACGGATGCACTAGACATAAGTATGAATGTGACAGGCCTTTCCTTGCCAACGAACACTTGTATTGATCTGTGGCTCACCTTCCATTTTAAATAAACCTGGCATGCCAAATGTTTTTTTTTTTAACCTTCATTGTTAGTAAATGTATTAATATAAAGACAAATAGCCACTTGAAGGGATAAGTGCACGTTCCTCAAAAGATCCACTGTCCTGCCAATTCTTTTTCACTTCTGCTACCCAGAGCTTGTAAACACTACCATGACCCCACTTACTCCGAGCATCACACAAACCTTTGGGAGGTTGGATTGTGTCCGTACATCTCATTGACTTTAATGGTCCAGGGCAGGGGTGAACAAGTTAAAATGGAATCCAGGAGCCAGTAGGATTCTTTTTTTTTTTAGGCGCTAGTCCATTGACAACAACAACTAGAGAAAACCTCAAAAGTTAGGTACCAGCTGTAATTTGTAAGGTACCTTGGCTACCTGGGATTTGTCCAGTGCTGGTCTAGGGATAACCAGGGCCGGATTTACTCTCTCTGCTGCCCCAAGGCCAGGTTCCTCAATGTGCTGGGGGTATGGCCGTGAGGGAGCTCCATCCATACGTGCATAGCTTACAGCTCCCTCATGTGCCTTGTAGAGGTGGCGGGACCGGAGTGATGTCACATTCTGGCTCCCGGCACCTCGACAGGGTGCACAAGTGAGCTGTACAAGCAATGCACATATTGATGGAGCTCCATTACAGCACAGCAGCCCACATTGGACCCTAGACTGAGGATCTACTCCAGTTCTCGTAAGATAGGGAGACTGGGTGGATCTTTTTGGAGTGTATATGTGTGTGTGAGAATCTCTGAGTGTGTCACACAGTCACATGTGATTAAAGCACTGTACAATGCAATCGCACTTACTTGCCGTACGTTCTGGTGTGGGAGGAGCATTGCCATTCATTTAAATTGCACCCGAAATGCACCTCCCGCCTGCACCGGAACACGTGGTACCGGAATGCCGTACATTCCATTGCAGTGCCACTTGGGCCGTGACTTAGGCTGGGTTCCCACCTGGCCATTCCTAATAGGCGCGTTGTATGCATGTTTTTGCCCTTGCGTTTGAAGCACGTTTTTTTTGTCCAATGAAACGCTCGTTTTTTAACCTCCCTGGCGATATGATTTTTTCCTTTTTTTCTCACTTTTAAACCTCCCGCCGGTTCCGCCCCCTGCGGCGCGGACGCTCGCAAGGGACGGAACCTTAACCCCGAGCCACACTCGGGAATACCAATGGATACGCGCTGAAATCAACAAATCGTGCTGAAACACGCCCAGGTGGGAACAATGCCCATAGGGATTAATAGGATTTCAGTTCTTGAGCGTTTGTCAGCACTTCGATCAGCGCTGAAAATGCCCAGGTGTGAACCCAGCCTTAAAGTGACATTAAACCCTCAGATTTTTTTACTTTTCAAAAGATTTTATTGGTTTTCAGGTTTTATTACAATAAAACATCATCATAACCATACATTCTGGTTACATGTGAAAATATTGTTGATGTATATATTTATGTAACATCGTAACAGTGTAAACTAACTTGCGATGGCCACCTTAAATGCTGGCCAATGAGTAAACAACATAAGAGGAAAGCGATAATGTAGAATATCTTTAGAGCAGATATACAGAGTCGTCAAAAATCGCTTGTCCTCCAGAATCAGGAGAGTGTTTCTGTGTCTCAAAGTGGAGACAGTAGAGAGAAGAGACCCTCAGATTTTTTTAACATAAAACAATACTGTAATGTGCGCCTTACTGTAATCCATGGTTGTTTCCCTTCTCTTTGCTGCTCTTCCTTTTAAATCTGTATCTGTTCTCATGCTCTGCAGAACTTCTGTTTTGCAGCAGACTGCCTTGTCTCAGGAATTGATACACGGTGTCTGTGTATACGTTTGTATAGGCTTGTAACCTGAGCCAGCACTACAGGAAGAGGCCCTGAGCTGAAAAAGGAAGTTCTTCCCAAGCATGAGAAGACATGAGGATTTAAAAGGAAGAGCAGCAAAGAGAAGGGAAACAACCATGGATTACAGTAAGGCACACATTACAGTATTGGTTTATGTTAAAAAATCTGAGGGTTTAATGTCACTTTAATGACCGAGGACAAATGCGGGTCCTGAGGTTATACAGGTTGAGAACCACTGCTCTAGAGTCTAGAGAAACCCCAGGATACCACGGAACCCTAGTTGAGAAAGGCTGTACAAACTGCAGCTTAGATTTGCAATTTTACAATAAACTCCCTAGACCAAGTTCAAAAGACAGACGCAGAAAAGTCCGAGACATACATGGACTGGGACTGTAAAGCACTCGGCATACCCAGACATCAGTGCAAAAAGGCAGTTTTATTATCCCTAAAAGGTTGAGAGCAGGGAGAAGCCAAGTCCCTCCATGAATGATGACACATGCGGGAGACTATACACTTAAGTGGAAAAACTGAAGCATACAGCAACAGGGAAAAAACTGTACGGGTGGAAGATTTGGATTCCTGCAATTACGACTTGGAATGCCACACTGGCTTAAAAGAATGTGCGCACACCAGTCACACGCTGCAGCTAAACGTATAATTACACAAGCACAGGCAATAATCAAAACAGACAGCAAGCTATACAGCTAGTGACAATGTCACACAACATACCAGAGCGTGTGCATAGCAGACACATAGTATTACATTCCGCATAGTGCACATATGCAGACACCCGGCACAGACACTTCCAGGGATTAGTGTCTGACTCTGTATCCTGATTGCTTCCCTTGATGTCTGACCTACATTTCCTCCTCTCGTCAGTCGGTGACATATCCAGGCCTACTGATTCAGCTCACAGAGAGAACACTTACTCCGCTTGCTCACTCGTCTTCAGTTCGCACTAAAAACGTTGCAGATGGAGATGCTAACACAAACAGCATAGGCAAGCACAATATATAAGCTATACCATGATCACAGGAAGAGAACCCGGCCTGATCCTGGGCAGCAAAGGAAAACTGTACTGAGCCTACATGGAGACTGTAGTATTTGAGGTTGAATAAAGACACAGGTCCATCAAGATCAACCTTTGTGTCTCTGTGTGTGATTGTGTATATACGAGCCCCTGTGTGATCTTGTTTTTAAGAGTACCTGTACCCCTGTATGTTACGGTCTCTGAGGAAGATATCTAAATGCTTCTGGAATGATTCAACACTTTCAGCTGATACCACTGCTTGTGGCAGTGAGTTCCAGACTCTAACTGAAAAGTAGCGCCTACGCCCCTTGTGGTTAAATCTTTTCTCCACCAATTTTAGGAGGTGGCCTCTAGTCTTTGTTATGGAGTTCAATGTAAATAGTTTATTGCTGATGTTGCCATCACCACTGAACATTTTGTACATCAAAATCATGTCCCCGCTTAGTCTCCTAACTTCCAGCGTGAACAAGTTTAAATTTAGTAACCTTGTCTCATAGCTTAGGTCAGGGGTGCCCATAAAAGGTCGATCGCGTATCGATCAGTGGTAGATCACGATGGCCTCTCCTCCCGCCCGTGGTGCTTCTCTGGATCCCCGCTGCTCTCCCCATCTGTATGCAGCGGATTTCCGAGGAGAAGTGAAAGAACCGCTGCAGCCCACGGCGGAGGAGGACGGAGCCGCTGTCACAGAACTAAGGCCGAGCGGTGAAGAGACCACAGTATACCGCGAGCTACTGCGACGCCGCAGCTGAAGCGGATCCCAACAATTATGTCTGGATCCGCCCAGCTATGTGAGTGACAGCTGGCTCTGCCTATCTAGAGGCAGAGCCAGCTGTACCCTCCCCCTGTTCGATCCGCCAGTCAGCGCTGGCGGATCGGGGAGGGGGGAATCCAGCCACTCCCCTGTCACGGCAGAGAGCTGTGACAGGATCGAGAAGTGAGTGAACGCCGGTATGTGTTCGCTCACCTCCCAATCTACTGAGCCGACCTGTGACAGTCTCATTGTCACAGGTCGGCTAGAACTATGAGGTGAGTGAAATTGATGCCCTGTCTTTTTTTTTCTTCTACCTTACCTATTGTGTTACAATGTAATTACATACATAACTGCATTTATTGGGGTTTTTAATGTCTGCTTGGAGTCCAGCTGTAAACACTGAAACCAGAGATAGCCAAGTAACCAGCATTGTCAGAAGAAGGCAAGCAACTAAACTAATGAAGGGGCTGGAGGACCTAAGCCAGGGGCGCCCACAATTTTTCATCTGGAGATTTACTTTTCAAATGACGAGCTCCTTGACATCTACCAACGAAAAAAACACCTGCATTC